GGGGGGGGGGGGGGGGGGGGGGGGGGGGGGGGTGTCACAAGTTGTGGACATGACAGAAGGAAGGCCAGGCGATGGCCTTGGGAAACGCCCTTACGCATGTGGAGAAGGAGAGTGATCCAGTCCACCGGCTGAAAAAGGAGGCAGCGATGCACAATGGCAATTCCACAGGCGACAGTGGGACTGCTGTGCTGACATTAGCATCTACCCTCCTTTCAAAACAAAAACAAAAAACAAAACAAAAAAAAAAAGTATTTTACTCATCTGCTTCTTGTAGAGTTCGAACTCCGGTCTGTATTTCAACAGTTCAGGGGGGGTGTACCAACTGAGCTACCGTCTTCACCCGAACAGAATGCCCGGTCATTTTATAGCGGCATCTGGACAGAAAGTTACCCTGAATACGGCTATAATGACCGGGCGTTCTATTCTGGTGAAGACAGTAGGCCAGTTGGTGCATCTACCCTCCTTTATACTTCTTACCATGAGGAAGAGCCTTTGTACTTCTTGCCGCAAGGAAGAGTGGTTTGCTTGCGAGTCCTCTCATGTGAGACTGTGAGAGAGCGCTCCCTTGAGAGCCGACCTTCTTCTGGTGCATCTGGTGGGAGAAGGGCAGTGCATGGGGAAAGTGCCCTTGGTGGATGAATGAAGCACATGATGGGGAACAAGTTTATGATTGCTTGCGAATATCACTATAAGCTTCGGCTTGCGCGATAGCGACAGTCGGATGTAGTGGGGGGGGGGAGGGAATGAGCCGACCACCCCCCTATGCCAGCTGCCATTCGACCCACAAGAGTGGGAATGGGACATGGGAGGATCTTGTAAGCTCCAAATCTGGGAGTACACAGTTAAAGATGGGTACCGAATAGCGAGGAAACCGGCACACATATTCGAATCAATAAAACTGCGACGGGCCAGAGACTCTCCCCTCAACACAGAAGATCTTAACACACTCAGATGGGCCACCTACTCGGTTGTGCGACCTACCAACCTGCGTGCGCTGCAGTGGCAGATTATTCACAGGTGCCTACCTACCCCGGACTGGATTGTGTCCAGAACAAATATGGAGGCCCGGGGAGTGCTGTCTCCGCTCTTTACCTACTGCGAGGGGACCTCCCCCAAGAAACGAGCTACACTTGAACATTGCCTGCTGGACTGCACCATGGTGGCTCAGCTTTGGCAATGGTGGGACGAAGCATGGCATCATCTAACGGGCATCCACTTCCCATGGGACCTCAAGGTTATTCTTTTGGGGGATTCGCCCTCCCACACGCCCAGGTGGACACCCTTCAGCCTCAACCTGCTGAAAGTAACACGACTCCCACTGCTCATGGCTACATGGCGAATGAGATGTGCATATGAGCACAGGCAGCACACATATGGCTATATGGAGGTTTGAGCCTCGATTCTAGAAACATTCAAAAGGTCACTATCAACACACATGCGGCTTGGCAAGAGCTCAGGAATATGCTACTAAAGGAACCAGATACAATCAAACAGAATGAACTCTCCGATAACTTCCGGTCCGCCTGGGTGGATAGTGCACAGAGACTCTGCGAATTGTACCAACACAACCAACTGCGCTCAAAGCAGTGGTTGTTGACAGAACCACAGTGGGAACGTCTACCGGGAAACCACTTCCAGTTCCCATTCCAACCGACCAACTTCATACTAATCCCGGGTTGACGAGGCACAACACATTCCCGGCTCCTGCCCCCCCACCCCACACCTACCCTCCTCCTCCTGAACCCTCCAAAGCCCACCCCAACCAGCCCCTCAACCCTGTCCCCCTACCCTCCCTCCCCCTACCCTCCCTTCCCGCCCACACCCCAGTCCTTTCGCAGAAGGCCGGCCAACCAGGGACCTCCCAGGAAAGGAGCATCTGAAGAAGTGACTACTCGGAGACAGAAGATGGAGTCAGCACCCAAGATGTAGATAGATAATAGAGGTGTTCATAAGGAAAACTTCTCCCGTAGTGACTATGCGAGTTTGATCCTTTTCCTGTAGTGACTATGCGATGTAAACCAGGGACCTCCCAGGAAAGGAGCAGCTGAAGATCTGACAATGTATATTGGATTGTGGAGAGTAGACAATAGACGGATCCCTACTGCCGGTGTGACTGGGACGGTGGGAACAGATGCATTCTTGGGAGTATAGATGTAGTTCTGGGTGGGTAGGAATCGTGGGTGGCCAAGGCTGGCCCTCACAGTTACACTAACACACTATCACACACCACACACCAACGCAGCGCAGCACAGGCATGCAGACAAGGTATCAGGTGGAATGCTGCCTTTAGGGCCTAAGGGTACAACCACCAGAATGAGCGTGCAGGGTTGTGCATATTGGTGCCAGAATGCTGCCCCCCAAACAAACTCCTCGCACTTCAAGGGTCCAACCACCAGAATGTTGCCAGAATGTGCGTGCAGGGTTGTGCATATTGGCATCATGTATGGACCCTGTTTTGGCCCGAATTTGATTCTACCCCCCCAAAATTTACCTGCTGAGCCTCATGAAGGCCCCACGGCCCCCACGTGAAACCACCAGTACGTTTCAGATCCATTTTTTCTCCGACAAGCTGTGCACGCGGCCACAAGTTTTTTGGGGGGTCAGCCCACCGGAGCGAAATGGCTGGCGGCACCAGCGCAAAAAGCCCCGCGCCATTCACTTTCTTTTTGGAGCGCAGTGCATTTCGAGGCGCAGCAAGGGGAGGATCAAAAGTACTGGTGGTGGTCCAACCTCCGTAGGGTATACCGGCACTTAGTCAAGTTTTTTTTCAAAAATGAAGAAGGAAAAACAAAAAAGGGCGGAACGCATCCCGCCACACATACATATTGCCAGCAACTACAACCTTGCTTTACCCTTAATACCTGCACTCCATGGCAGCTGTGCTCCCCACCATCGGAGAGAGCAAGCCTTTTTTTCTTGGGGGAAAAAGGAGCAAAAAAAACAGGAGAGACCAGCACGGCGAGGACCCACTTACATGAACTTCGGCCAATTCCTTTTTTAGTGATATTTCCTTGTATTGCAAAATGGAGAACCATGAGGCGGCGGTGACGTCCCTGCTCACAAACAACCTGGAAGCAATTCCAGGTGGTTTTTCTTTTCTCTGGGCGGCGGCGACGTCTCCGCTCACCCAGGTGACGTCCCCACTTACCCAGCTTCGGCTTGTGCT